GGGAAGGTCTTGGGCATTCTGTGGCAGTGAAGCTGGCTGGGCCCTCCGCTGGAACTCAGGTCAAGGCTGGCTCTGTCCCCTGGCTCACAGCCCGGAACTACTCTGAACCTCAGTCTGCTCCTCCAATCTTCAGTGGGCTCATCGCGATGGTGCCCCACACAGGGCAGCCAGAGGAGATGGACAGGGCAGAGGCCCCTGACCCCGCAGGATTAGATCCCAGGGAGGCCCTGTTGCCTGAATGTGGGTGCTCGTCTCATTTTCCCCTCTTCCTTAGGTCTTGAATGTGGAAAGGAATCAACTGACGTACCTCCCATGTTCCATTGGCAACCTGGCCCAGCTGCAGACCCTCAGGGTGAAAGGTAGGGCGCCCAGGACATCCTGTGTGCCTTAGGGCTCAGGGAAGACTGCCAAGGAGCTCGGCCCAGGAGCCATTGAGCCCAGATGGTGGCCGGTCTCCAGGGTTCACCTTAAACTGGACCGGCTTGCTGTCGGGTCCGCCGGTCTCTGTGATGGCTTCAGGGTCTCCTGGCTCCTTGGGATCATGGCCTTGAGAACAGGGGGCAGGATGCCCCTGAGAGGCCCCACCAAGACTGGGTCGTCCTCATTTAAGTCAGGCGGAGTGATGGGGGTGAGAACAAGTCTGGAGGCCCAGCCCCACTTCATTCCCCCATGGTCTTGCTCCCACTGCGCTCAGGGGTGCGTTGGGCCTGGTGACAACTCGGAGTGAGGCTGGGAGCAGTGGCATTACCAGGGGGTGGGGGGAAGGAGAAGGGGTGCGGGGGATGAGGCTCCGAGAGGGCTGGTGGCTAAGACAGCCCGGGGTGCAGTGCCCGGGCAAGATTCGAACGCAGCCCTCTCACCCTCAGCTGGGAGCTGGCCTCAGGTCTGCCCTCCCTTCTCCGAGGCCTTCTGCGTTTTCTGCACGGAAGGCCTCCGTGGACCGCCTCGGTGGCCCATGAGGAATTATTGACGTAAGGGCACCCTGCGCTCGGTCCCTGGTGTGTGGTGGCCACCGTGCTCACCGAATCCCTCTGCACAATGAGGTCCGAAGGTCTTCACGCCCTCATAGCACTGTTGATGAGCACACTGTTGCCTAGGGAGAGAGTCACTCAGCTAGTGAGTGGGGACAAGAGAACGGGAACTCGGGTCACTGGAAGGCCAACATCGGGTCTTCCTCATGGAGCCGCAGGTTCCAGGACCTGATGGTGGTCCAGGCTCCCAGGGTCAGAGAGCGGGCACAGCCCCCACACCCCCAACCCCCGCCCCCGGTCATGTACGGTGTCAGGCATGAAGTAGGGAAGGGGCTTTGGGGTGTTGAGCTGTGCCATCGGGGTCTTTCCAGACAACAAGCTGAAGGAGCTTCCGGACACCTTGGGGGAACTTCGGAGCCTGCGTACACTGGACATCAGTGAGAACGAGGTCCAGAGATTGCCGCAGATGCTGGCCCACGTGCGGACCCTGGAGGTGAGTGACGAGCCGTCTGTCCCTACCGTCCTCTCTGCCCCTGCCTGGGGGCTCTCCCTCCCGCATTCCGGTCACTGGTGCTTCCCTAGTCACTGGTGCTAGGGTCACAGTGACCCCCAGACATGGCCGTTAGGAGCTCCCAGAGGCCCACTGTGAACCGCTCTCAGTATGTGACTTTTGCTGCTGGATTGGGGGCAGGAAAATCTAGTTCCCGAGGGAAGAGAATGACGAACCTCGATGGCAGTAGAACTTCATGAAGACAGTGGTCTTTGAGCCAGACTGTAAATGAAAATCAGAGCCCTGGTAGCATAGTGGGCTAGACGTTAGGCTGCTAATCGCAAGGTCAGCCGTTCAAACCCACCAGCCAACTTGAGGGAGAAGGATGGGTCTTTCTGTCCCTGTCAAGATTTACAGGAGCAGCTCTGTGTCCTGCAGGGTCGCCGTGAGTCAGGCTTGGGTGCTGGTCAGGGCCAACTCGATGACAGTGAGGAGTGAATATGGTTTTGAAGTGGAGGCGCAGTGGGGGGAGGGGAGAGTCAGCTAACAAGGCTGGGAGTTGGTGTGCTCCCAGGACCCCGGAACAGAAAGAGCTCAGAAATCTGTGAGGGCCAGCCCGGGAGGTGGGAGTGGGAAGCCACTCAGGCCAGGGCTCGGGGCTGCAGCTTGGCAGGTGCGTTTCATCAGAGCATGGGGTGGAGGTGAGGGGAACACCTCTGGGACATGCACCCAAGTGCTCCCACTCAGTGAGAGTGGGCTCATACTTGCCTGACAGCTCTGGAGATGCACCTCACTCTGATGCTTCCTGAAAGGGCTCCACCCCAGACCTGAGGTCTCTCCCTGCTTCCTTGGTCGTGTTTCTCCTGCGAGGAAGTGTCGGGGATACCATCGCACCCCTTTGCCCATGAAGAGACAAAGTCACAGGGTGCCTATGCACTTGTCCAGGGGCCACGCAACTAATAGCAGCCAAGAGAGAATTAAAAACCAGGCCATGTGAATCCAAGGCTGGACACCTCGCCTCTCTGAATCACAGCCTTCCAGAACAGGAATTTCTTCATCCAGTTCTGACAAGTAGTCTGGCCAAGCATTCCAGAATCCTCCACTGAGCAGGCTGCATGGCTTCAGAGGCTTCTGGGTCTGAGTGACATCAGAGTTGGTGGGGTGGGGGGGTGAGCATGAAGACACAACAAGGGAGGAGCTGACTGCGCCCTCTTTCAGTGGCTGAGGCCTGGGCCAGCACCAGGCAGACAAGCTCTTCTCCCTGGGCAGGTGGAAGACACAGCCCAGCACGTGCTGGTCTTCTGGGCTGTCCAGTGGAACCAGTAGAGCTTTCTGCAGGGATGAGGACTGTGCTGTGGACTGTGCTGCCCCAGCACTTTAAAGGTGGCCATTATGACTAAGGAACTAAGTTTTTCATCTTACTGAGTTCTGGCGGAACAACCTGGAGGAGAACGCAGCGGGACCAACAGTTCCGGGGTGACATGGGAGAAGGGGAGGTGGGGGTGGGGGGAGTGGTGTTAACAAACCCAGGGACAAGGGAACAACAAGTGATCCAAATCCGTGGTGAGGAGGGTGTAGGAGGCCTGGTAGGGCGTGATCAAGGGCAATGTAACCGAGAGGAATTACTGAAACCCAAATGAAGGCTGAGCATGATAGTGGGACAAGAGGAAAGAGCTAGGAGGCAAAGGACATTTTTAGAGGTCTAAATAGAGGCATGTACATATGCAAATATATTTATATATGAGGATGTGGAAACAGATCTATGTGCATATATGTATAGGTTTAGTATGAAGGTAGCAGATGGACATTGGGCCTCCACTCAAGTACTCCCACAATGAAAAAATACTTTGTTCTATTAAACTGTCATTCCATGATGCTCACCTTCCCGACACAATCGCTGAAGACAAAGTGGGTGCATAAGCACATGTGGTGAAGAAAGCTGATGGTGCCCGGCTATCAAAAAATATAGCATCTGGGGTCTTAAAGACTTGAAGGTAAACAAGCGGCCATCTAGCTCAGAAGCAACAGAGCCCACATGGAAGAAGCACACCAGCCTGTGTGATCACGAGGTATCGAAGGGATCAGGTATCAGGCATCAAAGAACAAAAAATCATATCATTGTGAATGAGGGGGAGAGCAGAGTGGGGACCCAAAGCCCATCTGTAGGCAATTGAACATCTCCTTATGGAAGGGTCGCAGGGAGGAGACCAGCCAGTCAGGGTGCAGTGTAGCAACTATGAAACATACACCTTTCCTCTAGTCCTTAAATGCTTCCTGCCCCCGACACACACACTTAAAAAAAAAAGAGTTCTAGCTCGGTTGCAGCTAGTGAGCTGAAGGTGATTAGGGGCTGCCAGGCTGGACAGTGCCGCTCAGCGGGCCTGGTCTTCACTGAAGCCACCCACAGTCATCTAGACTTGATGAGAGTCATGCAGCTTATACCAGTTAACATTTTTTTAAAATCTTTTGAGCTTCCTTTAAGTGGTTTCTCGCACAGTTTTTTTTTAGGAGAGAATAACTTGGGGAAGGCCCTGCTCCTCCGTGCAAGGTCTTCTCCATGTGCTTTCCTAGAGCCCTTCGAAGATACTGCCTGGTGGGCAGTGCCTCTCCCTGCTGTAAACAGAGAGGACACTGCTGCTCAGGGGAATTAGGGACCTGGCCGGAGAGATGAGGAGGGTTCCCTTTTGTCTGCAGACGCTGAGCCTCGACGCCTCATCCATGGTCTACCCACCGCGGGAGGTGTGCAGTGCCGGCACTGAGGCAATCCAGCAGTTCCTCTGCAGAGGTAAGGCCAGGCGGCCCGCCTCATGCTCCCAGTGAGGAGCCTGGACCCCAGTGGCTACTCTGTGCGGGGCGCAGGCTGGGTGCTGGGGAGCTGGCCGGGACACAGGCCAGTGGCGCCCCAGCATCACTCAGGAAGTGTCATGACAGGTGTGGTTGGGAGAGTCCCGGTGGTTCTCTGTACTGTGGAGTCCATGGCTTCGGTAGCTGTCCCTTGGGGACCTGGAGGGTCTTTCCAGGGGCTCGTGAACACCCCTCTGGCTGAGGGTGAGCTTTTAGGTGAGGCAGCCAACAAGTGAGTTGCTAGTGTAAATAAAGCCTGAGCCCTTGGAAGCGCTTATACCAATTGGCATTCCCAGGAGAAGGGGCTGAGAAAATCCTCTGGTATCTCCACAGTCTTGCTAACATTTCTTAAACTAAGAAGTCTGCTAGGTAAACGAGAGACTCCTATTATTTTAGTGCTGTGTCCTTGGTTATTTGGATGATTTTTAAATACATCCAAGGACCATTTTTACTACGTACTATGAACTGCCTATTGGTCTCCTTTGAAGGGGTAGGAATGGGATAACTTTTTGACTGTATCAAGATAAGCTCCTTCCCCTCAGAAGGCCACACATGCATCAATGTTAAAAAGACTAGTAACTTTCTGGAAAAAGAGCCTGGCGGCTTCTGTAATAGACCCGCGGGGGTTAGAACACCTCTGGATCTGTAAGAGAGAAGGCACCAGCTCTCGGGAAACTGTGAGGCATGCGAACCCATTCTGTGACACAGGGCCAGGGAAGGAAGGATTGTCCCTGCTTCCTTGGTCGTGTTTCTCCTGTGAGGAAGTGTCGGGGATACCATCGCACCCCTTTG